CAGTTTGAAGCCAGCCTGGACAAAGTGTCTATGAGACTCTTCTCTCCAATTAACTCTCAAAAACCAGAAGTGGCACTGTGGCTCAAGTGGTAGAGTGCTAGCCTTGAGCACAAAGAGGTGCAGGGACAGAGCCCAGGCCCTGAGGTCAAGCTCCAGGACTGGAGGCCCTGAAATCAAGCCCCACTACTGGCATTCACACACACAAATCTCAAAGCATGAGGCTGGGAAGGTGGCTCAGTGGTAGAGCGCTTGCCTTGCATGCATGAGGCCCTGGGTTTGATTCCTGAGCACCACATAAGCAAAAAGAAAAAAGCCGGAAGTGGCGTTGTGGCGCAAGTATTAAAGCACTAGCCTTGAGCTGAAGAGCTGAGGGACAGCGCCCAGGCCCAGAGTTCAGGCCCCACGACCGGACCCAAAAAACAAAAATCTCAAAGCAGAACACCATAGTAAAGTGATAAGGGTAAAATGATGACATTCTTGCCATTCTTGCCAGGCGCTGGTGGCTCATACCTGTAATCCTAGGAGTCTGAGATCTGAGGATCACGGTTCAAAGCCAGCCCAGGCAGAAAAGTCCCTGTGAAACTTTTACGTCCAATTAACCACTCAAAAACTGGAAGTCATGCTGTGGCTCAAAGTGGTATACTGCTAGCCTTGAGCAAAAGAGTTCAGGGACAACACCCAGGCCCTGAGTTGAAGCCTCATGACCAACAAAAAAATGACATTCTTAAAATATACGTCCCATCATAAAACCCTAATGAATTTTGTTATGCCTTTCCATTTCTTTGGCAGTGTAGTTTTATTCTATTTCCCCCTCTTCTTTTTCTTTTTCTTTTTCCCCCAATCCTGGAGCTTGAAACCCAGGCCTGGGCACTGTACCTGATCTCCTCTGTGCTCAAGGCTAGCACTCTACCACTTGAGCCACAGCACCACTTCCAGCTTTTTCTGTTTATATGGTACTGAGGAATCGAACCCAGAGCTTCATGCATACTAGGCAAGCACTCTACCACTAAGCCATAGTCCCAGTCCCCTTCTTCCTCTTCTTATATTTTCCACTAAATGGGGAATAAGACAACTGGGAAAACTACATGAGTTCCTTCCAGAAAAGTTTCCCCTTGAAATATGAATCAATTGAGTTTTCAATATCATTATAAATAGGCTAATTACAGGGATCTAAATATAGATTGTTTGAAACTCTGTTTATTCAGTGATGCTACTGTCCCCCAAATTTCAACAAATAGGAGAAAGGGCTTGATAACTGAAGGGGAATCTAAGTGTAGAGTTTCATTCCTAAGCAGGCCCCTCTGAAATCCTTCATGTCTTTTCCATTGTTCATCAGCCACAGTCTGTTGATGGCTGTGGCACAGTGACCCACATGTGACAAGGCGATATGGGTGTTGGAAGAAAGCATATAATATATCGAATTTGAAAGATGAAGTGCTGGGGCATGGGTGGCTTATGCCTGTAATCCTAGCTGCTCATGAGGCTGAGATCTGAGGATCACAGTCCAAAGCTAGCCTGGGCAGGAAAATCCATGAGACTCTTATCTCTAATTGACTACCAGAAAACCAGAAGTGGCACTATGGCTCAAGTGGTAGAGTGCTAGCCTTGAGCACAAAGAGGCTCAAGGACGGCTCCTAGGCCCTGAGTGCAAACCCCAAAACGTACACACACAAAACAGAGAAAGAAATGTGAACCTCTCATTTCCATGTGCCGCTCATTCTGTTCATCAACAAACTTTGTAGTTCCCAGGTATAAGTCAACAGTTATTTAAGTAAGATCCATGACAAAGGAAAAGCTGTTCTATGATGCATAAATCTAAATTTAGATTACATCCAAAACAACATTGATCAAAGTTTGTTCATGAGATATCAGGTGCTTCAAAAAAATTAGTAGTTTATAAATTATAAGCCTCTGTGATTCTATTTTTTTTTGGGGGGGGGTCCGGTCATGGGGCCTGAACTCTGGGCCTGGGCGCTGTCCCTCAGCTCTTCAGCTCAAGGCTAGCACTCTACCACTTGAGCCACAGCGCCACTTCCGGTTTTTTTCTTTTTGCTTATGTGGTGCTGAGGAATGGATCCCAGGGCCTCAGGCATGCAAGGCAAGTGCTCTACCACTGAGCCACCTTCCCAGCGCCTGTGATTCTATTTTTTTAAAGGCACTTTTATTTTTCTAGTCCTGGGTCTTGAGCTCTGGGCCTGGGTGCTCTCCCTGAGCTCCTTTTTTTTGCTTAAGGCTAGCATTCTACCACTTGAGCCACAACACCACTTCTGGCTTTTTCTGAGAGGTTTATTGGAGAGTCTCATGGACTTTACTTCCCATGCTGGCTTCAACCCGAGATCCTCAGATCTCAGCCTCCTGATTACAGGCGAGAGCCTCCAGCACCTGGCTAGAGCCACTTTCTGTAGCTCAAGGTAATGATGAAAACATAGAACTTCTCAAATCGAAGTAGATAATTAAACTATTCAACTTTCTTTCACATGCATACCCTTTAAAGTAGAGCAATCAAAAGTTAGAAAGATAATGTATCTCACTTAAGAGTGTGCTGTGCTGTAGGTAGGAGGAAGATCTCCTACTTTTTTAGGTGTGTAATGCTTTTTAGGTGTTAAATTCCTAACTGTCCCAAGGTGAGCTCCCACTTACTCACTCTGAACCTGTTTCCTCATGTCTGGGAGGTGAGGGCACACTGTGGGGGGACTTGGCATGGTTCCTGTGAGTTAACTGGGCTGAGTGAACTGGTGAAAGTGAAAGTGGAAAGCAATTTGAACTTTCTTCCTTCCCTGGCTTTTCTCTGACCTGCTCACCTCTGTCAGTCAGGCCAACCCAGGAACCAAACACCTAAGGTGAAAGGGATGGAAAGGAAGGTGACACAGGAAGCTGAAAGGATACACAAGTAAGAGCTGGATGTTGGGCTGGGAATGTGGCGTAGCGGTAGAGTGCTTGCCTTGCATGCATGAAGCCCTGGGTTCGATTCCTCAGCACCACACAAACAGAAAAAGCTGGAAGTGGCGCTGTGGCTCAAGTGGTAGAATGCTAGCCTTGAGCAAAAGAAGCCTAGGGACAGTGTCTAGGCCTCAAGTTCAAGCCTCAGGACTGGCCAAAAAAAAAAAAAAAAAAAAGCTAGAGCTGGATGATACCTTCCTCTCCCTTGCTTTTATCTCTGTCAAGAAGCTATGTTATTTAAATTCAAACATTGATTGTCTTCTAAATATAGAATCAGAGAAGCCAGGTGCTAGTGGCTCATACCTGTAATCCTAGCTAGTATCTGGGGCAGTTCAAAGCTAGCCTGGGGAGGAAAATTTATGAGATTCTAATCTCCAATTAGCCACAAAAAAGTCATAAGTAGAGCTATGGCTCAAGTAGAAGACCACTAGCCTTGAACACAAAAGCTCAGGGCCAGTTTTCAGGCCCTGAGTTCAAGCCCCAGGACTGGCACGCTTACGTGTGTGTGTGTGTGTGTGTGTGTGTGTGTGTGTGTGTACACACAGAAATAGACTCTGGAAGATCTTGTAACATACTTGTAGAAGCTTACTTTTCAATGCTAAACCATGAGTTCTTTAGTGGCTCAAAGGAATCCCTTAGTAACAAACTTATTGACATAGTTCGTGACCCATAAGAATGTAGATTCCATATTGTGTATGTCATTCAGCAACTGCCCTAGGAAAAATATATTTTTAAAAATTTAAAACATATGGGGCTGGGAAGGTAGCTCAGTGGTAGAGCGCTTGCCTTGCATGCATGAGGCCCTGGGTTCGATTCCTCAGCACCACATTAACAGAAAAAACCGGAAGTGGCACTGTAGCTCAAGTGGTAGAGCGCTAGCCTTGAGCTGAAGAGCTGAGGAACAGCGCCCAGGCCCAGAAATCAGGCCCCACAACCGACAAAAAAAAAAAAAAAAAAAAATTAAAGCATAGTGAATGTAATTCCTTTCTTGCTTTTAAGGAAGTTATTGTAAGCCAGTCTTTGAACCCTTATTAATCTTTATTCAGAAATAAGAGTTCCATAAAATCTGTATGCTCTCATTTTTGAGGGTTCTCAGAAAATGCTTCAGCACAAAATCCTATAATAAAAACCTCTTCCCAGGGTCAAACATTTCAGCCAATCAAAGCGTTGCATCTTTAAACTTGGGATCGCTTAGTGTATCTCTTGGATCTAGGGGTTCAAAGGATGGTCTCTCTAGGTGAGACTACAAGACTTCAAGCCTTAGAACCCCCAGAACGTCCCTCCATTTGGTAGTTTTTATTCCTTGAGGGCACTAAAGTGATTGGGAACAAACTTCTTATCTGCCTGAGGGATCCAGACCCGAGGCAGAGACTGATGAAATTAGGTGATGCATCCCCATTCGGAATGGGCTCTCCGCTACCTGAATAGATAGCCCCCCCCCACACACACACACACTGCCGGAAATGTTCCCGAGTCATTTCAAATGCACCTTATTTCGAAAGACACCCTTGAGGGATTTGGACTTATTGATTTTTGACATTTTCATATGAATGAGGAAGTTTTGCTTCCATGTCGCTTTCATCCCCCGCCACCCCCCCCCGCCCCGAAATTGGCATCCGGCATCCAAACCAGTTGAGGACCGCATCATTCCTGAGCTAAAAATTGATAACTTAACAAGGGACTCGTTCCAAGCTTTGTGAAAAGAAAAACCATTTTAAAACGGCAAACTGGAGGATTTTTACCTCCAGATCCGACCGTACACCTAAAAGGGGAGGAAGAAAAAAAAAAAAAGGCCGTTCGTTCCCTCCTCCCAAAGCACAAAAACACAGCATACCCAAGCGCAGCCCGTGTCTACCCAGCCATACAATAATGCTTTGTAAGCTGAGAGAAGCACCCGGTATAGAAGCGAAGTCTAAACAGCTGAGAAGGATTAGGCAGTAGCTCCATTCTCATTTACATGAAAATCCTCTAAGCAACGTTTTTCTTGCTGGCTGCGGGCACATAAGGAACTCTTTTGTGCCATCGCCACGCATACATTTGCATCCTTTGTCTTTACTTACCAGTCGAGGCTGTGGGCATGTGTGCTCTATTTCCTCCATGGTTTCTGAGGGAGGCTCATTGGAAAGGGATTTTGGGATACCTGTTTCTGACTCAGCATCAGTAAGTACTGGCATGACCAGTGAATGCTCCCTCCAGCTCTACACCCTCTGAGAGTCTCCTCCCAGGCAGAGAATGTTTTCTTTGTCACGTATTTTTCTCTCCCCTACCCATCCCCCTTCTTCCCTTCTTTGCTGTCTTCCCTGGGGGAAGTAAAGAGGTTAAACACCCCTCCACCCCCCACCCCACGCCGCCCCTTTCTTTCGCTGAGAAGCCAAGAGGCAAGGCCTCAGTTTATCACTATAACAACCAAAAGGCACTGGAGCGTCTGGTGCGGATACAGTATCCTCATTTGCATGGAGCGCGCTGGTTGGCTACTGTCATCATAGTACCACTCCACCGGCAAGCGGCCGGGCCCTATTGGCTAACCAGCGGTACCCACTGCCCGAACTTGCCGCTTTTGTTTGTTCTGTTTAATTCAGTTGCAAAGGTCTCCTTACATATTCTTGAGTAAAATTGTCCGGCTGCAGGACTCAGATAAGATAAAGCCCCTTTCTGAACAACCCGGGACGCGTGGAGAAAGAACACAGCAGACCTCTACTGAAGAAGGATCGTGTTCCTGGTTTGAGTGTAGGAAGTGCTGCGATCAGAATATTCGCTAAATCCGAGTCACCCTGAAAGACAAAGACACTTTTGAGCCCAAATCCACTGTGCCAACTACTAGCTGGCCTCTCAGGAAATTCACTGTGGGCCATTGAGAGTTTATCTCCTGGGCGGCATAGGACAAGAAACACTGGCAGATCCCCTAAGACCTGATAGAGCCCAGGAGGAACTTAGAAGGAGTTAGATTTTCTTTTGAATACCCTCCCCAACTGCTTCCTCTGTCAGCCACTCACTCTTGCCTCTCAAGGAAATTCGGTGTTTAATCATTCCAAGGGCTGCTCCCATTTTATCAATCCTCCATCCAATCTCCTAAGCATTCTGCTGTCAAAAACACCCACAGATTGTGAAAAGATTTTCTTGTTGTTGTTGTTTGAAATCCCAAAGAGAATGTTAAAAGAGGAACATTCTGGCAATACTCAAAAGAACTTAAAAAACTTATTTGTTCTAATGAAATGCCCATGTTTAACGTTAATAAAAATATATAATTACTAGCTTTTATGAAGTACAGATACAGTGCTAAGCACTTTACCTAGATTATTTAATCTTCTTAAGAATCCAAGTAGATAGAGCCTATTATCCCCATTTTACAGGAGAGGAAATTGCAGCTTACAGTAATAATTGTTCAGGATCTCAAAATTCCTAAGTAATGTAACTGGTATTTGAAAGATTTGGGGTGGTAGGATGCAGTAGGTGTACTAGAAAATGAAACAGAAGGTATCTCTAAGAAGTGCTTATTTCTTTTTATTTTTTTTTCCTCCAGCTATAGTTTGGATCCAACTGTGATTCTGGGCTAGGATCACCAGCATCATCATCACAAGAAAATTTGTTGAAAATGCAAATTTTTGTTCCCATCCCAGCCAGACCCCAGACCAGATTTGGTAAGTCTGAAGTAGGGCTAGAATTTTCATTTTTTAATGAGTGGCTGAGTGATTCTAATACTGCAAATTTTGAAATGTTAATCTGACAATCAGTACGATAAAGGATAAGAGAGAGTGATCAGTACCTCTTCCCTCATGGAATTTGGGGAGCTCGAATGAGCTATGTTAGTACACTTCGTAAAATAATATGGCATGCCAATATAAAGGGACATTCTTTTTAAAAAATGTGTTAGTCAAGGGGCTTGAACTGGGGTGGGGGTGGGGCTGTTCCTCAGCTCTTTTGCTCAAGGCTAGCTCTCTACCACTTTAAACCACAGCACTGTTAGGTATGCGGGGGGGGGGGGGAAATGGCCCCTTCCCTTGCTTTTCCCTCCATGTACAAGGTACCCCTTCCCTAGAAGTCCTCGCCCAATTTGTAGCCCAGGTAACTGGCGCACCTGGGAGCCGTGACAGGTTCCCAGGCTTTGAGGTCACTTCCACATCCTGTAGCCCTAACTCCTACCCCCTCTCTATATAATCAATCTCCAGGATTAGCTTCCCCCTTCCTCCCTTCTCCTTCCCTTCTCTCTGCACCCCCTTACCCTCTCCCTCCTTCCTTTCTCCCTGCACAGTTCAATCTTTCCCCTTCTCTCTCTCTCTCTCTCTCTCTCCTCTACTGCTCTCTCTTTCTCCCCTCTCTCCCTTTCTCTCTCTATCTCCTCTCTGCACTCTCTGCACACTACATCTCCTGCAGGGCCAGGGCGGGGTAGGGATGGAGGGGTGGTTCTTACAATAAACTGTCCTCTGACTAAACAACCAGGTGGAGGTCTCCCTTATTCAAACCTTACCAGCACCCCTTCCGTTTTCTGGTGGTTAATTGGTGCTAACAATCTCCAGAACTTTCCTACCCTGGCAGGCTTTGAACCATGATCCTCAGATCTCAGCCTCCTGAGTAGCTAGGATTACAGGTGTGAGCCACTGGCACCCAGGCAGGACATCCTTTTAAATACTCAAATAAGCAAAGAAGAAAAATGGACACTGTAGCAGAAAATGGCCTAGTTTGACAGTGATAAATCCTGCCACATTAAGTCAGGATGACATCATTAACAGTGTGTTACCTCTGTTCAAGATAACTCCTGTGATACAAAAATTCCAGTGATGTTTGGGGCCTCTGAAGAAGGGCCAAGTTCTTATCTGTCTTTTCTCCCAGAAACACAAAGTGCCTCAAGCTGTAGGCTTAGCTGAGCGGACTTGATCAACACAGCCTAGCCCTGCAGTACATTTAAGAACCCTTTCTCCACCCATGTTGAGAGATGGATTGTAAGATTGTTTTTCTAATCTCAATATTTTCTTTGCCCTAGAGGTTGGGTTCTCAAGTGTAGTTCCCTAAGGAATCACAGCAGCAATAGTCCAAACTTGTCCGGCATTCTCACTCCCTTACCCTGAGTCCTGCTGAATCAGAAACTGAGGTGGTGGAGCTGAGCAAGCTGGCTTTAGAAGAAGCTCCTGGTTGGGGAAGTATTCTGACATGTGCTGAAGTTTGAGAACCAATGCCTTAGGGTTACATGTTCACATGGGCACTTTACCATCACTGTATTCTGAGTCACCAAGCTACTTGCTTGGTTCTTAATTACTTCTGTAATTCTCTCTAGGTAGGGAGCTTAGTTGTCCTACCTGCTTAGTTAACCAAGTTCTGGTGTCTAGCTGAGCCCTTAAGAACATATTTTGTAAGCCGGGCGCTGGTGGCCCACGCCTGTAATCCTAGCTACTCAGGAGGCTGAGATCTGAGGATCG